TTATCTGAGCTGGGTTCTTGCAGCCGTCACAGGAAAACTGAGGTTTTTTTTCTTTGCTACCTAGAAGTTTAAAATGCATCTCTGTAAGAAGTTCCCCAGGCTTCTTGCAAAACAGCAGTCAAATAAGCTAATATTCACCTAATAGTGAATTGTTTTGAACAGATAAATTAGCCTTTTTTAAGCTTCAAATTACACTGCCTGCTAATTATCAGTGCAGTAACATAAATGAGGAGTGCTGAAGAACGGATAAAATTTGCAGCATCTCTTCTGTATTTATTTGCAATGTTCCTGTCATGAGCGTAACGTGAACTCCTACCTTTAGCTTTCTGGTCAGTACATATCTTCCAGTTCTTGTTCTCCAGCCTGGCCTTAGAACAGCTATTTTTTGCAGAATGGAAGCACTGTAATACCTGCAGTGTGGGTTTTGCACCTTTAACTGTACTTATCTGAATACACTATAAATTTTTATGAGCGTACAGGCAGTGAAGGTTGCCTTCTCTTCCCCTGCCTGGCGTTCTTTACAGACAGGAGGAATAAGCCATAAAATTTGCAGCTGGGAGTTTCTTGGGATGAATTAATCCCAGCCTAAAATAGATTGATGTAACTAGTTTTTTGTACGTTTTCATCCCCACAGTCACAGGAGCAGAAGTGTGTAGGGGGCTAGGAAAAGCTAGCCAGAGTAAAATGTGTTTTGGCTGTGCCTGCTGCTGTAATGTTGCTGGGGCCGCATATTAATTCCCACTGCAGAGTCAGGGAGTCGGGAGGCCTTGCTGGCTCGTTAATGTGTCTGACATGGAAGCAGCAGAGCGTCTGACCTGTTGTTTCTCCCCATAAAACAGTGTTGAAATGGAAACTATTGTTTTGCATGCCTGGATATAAATCAAATGTGCGTAATCCCTCCAGTTGGCTTCTTTGGATAAATAAAATGATTTTGATAGGGAAGGTAAACAAAGACATCTCTAGGAGAGCAGCTGCACTTAGCATATCTGATACCACTATTTAAAATGAAAATTCAGGCATGATTTTGCAAATCATGATGATCACACCAAGTTACAGTAATGGAAATTAAGTTATCTGGCAGTTCTTACAGGGAGACCTTGCTTACACTTGCTTATACTTTGCCAAAGAGGGTAGAGGCAAACTGACTTAAGCCTAACACTGCAGCCCAGAGGAGATCTCCCAACCCCAATACATTCCGGCTCCTTTTCTCTGTAGAAATAAAAATCGACCATATAGATACGTACCTGTATGGGTATGTATCTTTCTACTTTGTAAATACACTGTCTTGCAAAAGACATGGCAACATGTGGAATATAAACCATTTTCTGTGAATATTAAAACTATAAATTATAAGGCTGGATTACCTCATGCTTTTAAAAAGAGCCTAAAATATTCTCCACTAAGGAAAAATCATGTTTCCTTTAGCATTCTGTGTGATGAATTATGAGAAGAGAAAGTACTTCTTAATGAGATTAGATTGCTTGATGTAGTGAAAAGTACTCTTTATTCACTTCCTGATCCTGTCTCACATTTCTGCTTTAGTTTCTGAAAACAGAAGTGTTATGTCCAAAACCGACAGGCTATATTAATAGTTTCTCAACAAGCTGTGATGCAGCATTTCGCACCACAGGCAAACCTAGTCCCAAAAAAAGAAGGTAATACCCACTTTTCCATGCGGTGACTTTTGGGGCACAAACTTGCCAGAAGTTAGGAATTCCAGCTTTATTTGCATTAAATGTTGATGATCTATATAGCAAACATTGTTTTTATTAAACTAATGAATTGCATCCTGTGGGGAGCATATTTTAAGGAGAACTGAGAGGAAAACCATGTCTCTGTGTTTGTCACAGCTACAGCTTTTGCCAGTCACATTGTTCTACTGTCATAAATGTTGGCTCTTAGATCATGTTTCTCCTGATTTTATTGCACTCATTCCTG